TAGCGCTACAGAGCATGCTTTGTGAGAGCCCCGTTTGTGTATTGTCTGTTAAGAGAACAAGATATGATAGGGGTAAATAAGATCACATAACGAAACATCTAATTTACAACATTTGGTCAGTACTTCCTGAGTGTGACTTCATCGGTGATCGTGAGCCTAACAGTCTGCTTCTGTTCTGTAGTTACCATAGGATAAACCCTTATTCCACTCGGATATGCCGTGAGAATGCAACAATCGCTTCGTTGTGCGTGTGATAAAAACACTACTCACAAACGTTAATAGCGCCTCACAACAGTATCATTGACATTGAAAACAGTTGGTTTGGTGCGTATCGAGTAGCTCTCAATTTAAACTAAACCTCGATTTAGAACAATTACACCCTTACTCAAAAGAAACCTAATGATTGAGACAAGCATGTCAGTAGGCGACATGCTTTATGCAGAAACGGAATTTGCAAAGACCATTCATATGTTGAGTTTGTCTTTTCAACTGAACATTATCAATCAAGTTGTTACAAAAACTTACCGGGGGAACCATGACCGGAATTACTTGATCCAGCACTTCGAAGCATATATTTTCGCCTTCTTTATCACAATCCAACCACAGAATTATTGAGCCGGCATTTCTCCCCTGTAAAAGAAAATGTCATGTGGGATAAGAAATAGTGGAACAAACCTCCTGACGCAAAAAGTCCACCATTCTCAATTTCGGATTCGCTTCTTTCTTCTCGATTGGGGCCACAAATAGCTCTGCCTTTGATGATTGAGCAAATAAATTTTGGATATGAGGAACAGAAAACAAACCGGATCAACACGATCCCAGTTATTGTAACGACCATCGAAGTCAGTGGTCATGACATGACCACAAACGGAAGTCATTTTAAAGCGAACCTGCTCCCCCATAAAAGACCCAGACCATTCGTGCAGGGAACAAGCCCCGTTGAACCCACGACGAGAAGATACATGACCTCTGGCTAATATTTTTGCAATCGATTCAGCAAGTGATGGCTTTTCAGCCACCATAAATACTACCTGCATGTTTAGCAATCTGAAATTTAAAAAAAAACTGGCAATCAAAAGGCGAAATTGATTAGCGGACACGAAAAATTAATTGAAAAGGACACTCAATGACGACAAGTACAATTTGAACATCATCAAACCCGAAAGATGAACGAAATGAAAAGGATCAGACAAGGCCTATTTACGAACCCCGTTGGTGGTGTTATTATTGTTATTATTATTATCATCGTACAGCGAAATACAGTGAGGCGAACTTCACTGAGCGCTATCAAACTCGCAATGCACATAAGGTTAGTGGTAATATTTAAGGTGGACAGGGATTGGACCTATTTTGAGAGAGGGAGTAAAGTAAGTTTATAACATGGAAAGGAGTGCCGCCCGGAGACTGTTGATTAGGAATCGGGAGGAACCTTACATTAGGGAGTCTAAGACTGGAAAAGAACTGGATAGACGACGAGTGTTCGACATATTGCTAATACCAGGGGTCCCACTCCCCGTTTCTCTGAAGTATATGGAAACCCCAGCTCGCGATAACAGCGTGGTTAATAATGGAGTTTTATATTGTAACGCGATTAGGGATAATTTTTTAGCCGTGGCTGTATCAATAGCTCAGCTAACGAGGGGTAGGTACTGCATCAGGCCGGAGGAGGCATCGAGAATTATGCCCAGAAAACATAGACTAGGAAATGAGAACAGTCCTCTCGGTGGTAAAGAGAAGGAAGCCTAACGCAGGAAGGGTTAGTCTATCGAGACGAATTTCATGACCCGTGGAGCACCAACCGGTCACGACCGCCCCGAAGGCAGTAGCAGTGATGGAAAACTTATTGGAGGACGAAACCTGGGTAAGCTGTGTGCAGCCAGACGACGCCCTGGTTGGGAGCAGCAGTGACGCGTTGAGGGGCATAGTTCTAGCAACCCCATTCAAAGGGAATTGGACATCACAATTCATCGGAGATCCCAGTTAACGTCGCCCTTGATTGATGATAATGATGCTGATGACGGTGTTGGGGCAAAGAAGAGGTTTTTTGGGTATATGCGATTGAAGAGAACCACACGTGAAAGTGTTTGAACCTTTGAGATGGGGAACGTTAACATAGCCAGCACAGATAGGGNCAGATAGGGTCAAGGTTGAGACGCTGAAAGATTATTTCAAACGTTTCTATCGACCGTCCCAGGGTGATGATGTCCGGAACCCTTTGGTGGATACCAATGAAAACGAGCTTCAGATGCTAACCGTGAGGGAGGATGAGGTACGATCTGAGCTCAGAAGGATGTGCAAGCATGAGGTGGCGCGTCCGGGTGAGATCCACCCAGCTAGTCCATCCAGTAGTTGAGGTCATACTAGGAACTGTCACTGAACTGTTTAGGGCATTGCTAAACTCGGGAGTAATGCCACAGGACTGGAGAAAGGCAACCGTTTCGGCAATATACACATCGGGGTCCAGGCAAAAGACGGAGAATAACAGGCCGGTCAGTTTAACATCAGTACTGTGGAAGTGTCTTGAACGAACAGTCAGAAGGTGCGCACCTGGGGACTCATAGACTTTTAACTCCCGCGCAGCCTGGTTTTGCCAGAAATAAATCATGCTTAACTAATCTACATATGTTTCTGGACAAAACTACACGTCGTCTAGATCAGATTAGGGCAGTGGGGGTACGTTACTCAGAATTTCAGAATTTTGACTCGGTGAGTCTTACGTTGCTTGACAGGAAACTACCAACGGTTGGAATAATCGGGTCAGCGCTTCAGCGGTTGAAGCAATTTCTCTGCAACCGTAGCTTGGTTGTGTGGATCGACTGTTACACATCAGAGAGGGACACAAGCGGGACCATCATCATCATCATTTTGCAGCGTATTACAGTGAAGCGAGCTTCACTGATCGCTGTCAAACTCAATGCATACAAGGTAAGCGATAGTGTTAAAGGAAGATAGGGAGTGGACTTACTTTTAGGGACA